AGGCATGTAAAACTTTTTAGGAATGGGCATTGGAGCCGCGCTCTGAGGGAATGGTTATTGTATGTAACTTTTGGCATCTAAACCTTTCAAGACCGGGGGTGCCCCGGTATTTGATCAACACGGGAGTTATAAGTCTCAACTTTCTTGTCATTATCCTCAATCTTCTTCTCCCCGGACTCGATTCTCTTGGTGAGCTCCTCGAGCATCCTCATAATTGTGGGATAAGTCCCCGAGCCATTACCGTTTGATCTTTCCGGTATCAGATTAGTACGTCGAGTGTTTTCTGGTTCGACTATACTTGGAGTTTTGTGCTGACTCTGAAGCTGAGCGATAGCAACCTATTGAGCTTGTAGCATCTCGAATATTACTTAGAGGCTGACTCCCCCGTCTCCTAGACCTTGTGTTCCTTGGCCACCAGACCGGGCTTCCCTACGTACACTTCCTCTGGGGTCCACGCCTAAATCCGCATCCAAAGCAATGTGCGAACTAACATTGACTGGTTCCCCATTTGGCACTTCCACAGGGTTAATCGATGGTACACCGGCCCCTACATTGTTGTTTTTCCCGTGAAATCCAAGACCCTCATCACCGTGTACGGGTGCGTTTTGCGAGTTTGACAAATTTTAACCTGAAAGCAAGAATTCTTGACAAGAACAAGTGTGAAAATAACGTGTGTTATCAGAATCAGTACTGAAATAATCACTATTATCTTTAGCCCCACGGTGGGCGCCAAATTGTTTACCTCGAAAATACGAGTATCAATTAAACTTGATTTATGGTTTTAAAGATACGTGATTTAGTTCAATACTAATTAATAACCAAGAAATCTGAAGTATAAATGAAAGAAATAAGTAAAACCAAACCAGAAAGTAGGCCAGTCTCGACCTCGAGCCAAAGTGACCTCGAGTTGAATCAAGAACAGTAAAGTAAGAATAATAAAGCTAAACGACAATTCTGATAAACAATGAGCGAAAATGTAAGAGAGTACATTCTTTGCCAATGATTGATGATCATTAAAAATGATCGGGGTCCCATTTATATAATAGGGGAATCCTAAATAAGGTACATTTCTATTTACAGTAAAGAATCTTATTGGGACAGCTGTCTAACCGCCTAGTACGGATTCGTACAAATTTATTTCGGGATTTACGCCACGATCTTAGGGACGTGGTAGGAATCTTGCTCATTCTGTTACAAATCCATAACGACATTATCTCGAAGTTGATGATATTAGGCTCCGATGTTCCTTGAATACTTAGTTCTTCGAGCCTCGTGCTTCGTCCTCGGGTTCGAACTCGGTCCATAGTAAATCTGTTCCTCGACATGAGCCTTCGAGCCCACAAAATTGGGGCACTTGATTTCACCGTATATGTCATTTGACAGTGTAAAAAATATTTTCACGTTCACTAATATAACACAATTTCATACGTAAAATTCAAGAATTATAATGGAAACTTCATCATTGTGGAAACTTCGTGGAAGCACACCTTATAACTACACTCTATCTGCTTCAGCTGATGGTATGGAATGATTTGAAAAGTTCCCATTCAATGATTGCGCCTAACGCGGTGAGATAGCAAACCCTACTACTATACTAGATTCCTATCACTTTAGTTTACACACTAGTTACCTTTCTCTTTCTGCCTAACTTAATCAACTAGCGAATTACAACAGTATTGAAAATATCCAAGAAGGAGAGCAAATATCATTAACAAAAAATTAAACAGGCAGAATTCGGTTAGAAGCCTTATCTTCGATTGACCTATATATATGTGTGTATATTTAGTCATGAAGCAATTACCATTATTTCATCAGAGATACAACAAGCAATACACCAAAGCATATTTTGTGTCTTCATCCTTTATTAATTAATTTCTTACACGATGACAGCCATGAAGAGAAGCAGAGAAGATGATGGTGAAGTAGAAGCACAAGCCATGGCTAACTGCTCCATGCTTTTGTCTCGTTTAAACAATAACACTTCATCGTTTGAATGCAAGACATGCAACAAACGATTCTCATCTTTTCAAGCACTTGGCGGCCACAGGACGAGTCATAAATCGCTGAGATCATTATCCATAGACGCCAGAAGCAAATCCAAAAAACCAAAGAATAATATGCACCAGTGTTCTATTTGTGGGATGGAGTTCTTTATGGGGCAGGCTTTAGGTGGACATATGAGGCGTCACCGTGCCCCAATCAATGTACCAGTTTTGAAGAAGTCGAATAGTAGCAAGAGAATATTATGTCTGGATCTTAATTTAACCCCTGATGATCAGAACGATGATTTTAAGTTATGGCCAACGGCACCTGCTCCTGTTTTGCGCTGCTTTATCTAATTCCCTCGATCACACTTCCATTACTTTTAAGTTATGGACTAGAACATGTTTTTCTTTTTTGGTTAATTACTTTTTTATTCTTTTCGACAACTGCCTTCTGTTTTGGTTTTGTATATATCAACATTCTATAGCTATCATAGGAGTACTTTTTTTCTATACCACTAGTTATACTTCATTAAGATGGAAAATAGAATCATGTGGTACTCCTATCTTATAACCGGTTAATCAGAATTTAATTAGGGATCATTTGGTATGATGGATAAGTAAAAATAGTGCTGGATAAACATTTAGTATCACCTTATTCCTTATTTGGTTACTAATTCTTGGATTAAAAAATATTACTGGGATAACATATACCTGACAGTGAGTGGAATATATATAGTAATTCAAGTATAAGTTATTCTAACAAACAATAAAAAATAATATCAGAATAACTAATTTCGACATAACCAATTCGAATAATTAATCCCAACATAACTAATCACAACCTCTGTTTTAAAAGGCAGAATTGGGACTCGCTCAGGACTCGCCCCGGGGCGGAGCACTCGTAAAACGCCTCTGGGCTTATATGTGGGGCTTAGTTCCATGAGACTTACGTCTCGGCCTTCGGGACTTATGCCCCAGACACGCCCAACGCCCAGCGTACTGGGCTCGCCTAATAGAACTTTATGCAATTGTTTGTAACTAACCTTGTAAATCCTCAAATTTTCTTAATAAATCGTTGACTTTTCAAAATTACTTTTTTTTCTTCATCATAAATCATTAAGTTGACAGTATTTTATATCATAATTAAAACAAAAATTATTGCATGTTATCCATTAAGACTGCTATGATAGTAAACTTTAAATAAATCTTTCATTTAAAAGTATTTATTTATTAACTTTTGTTATGTCTTTATTGTATAATAGTCCATAATATTTTTATAATTATTTTCCTAAATATTAGTTTTTTCACGTTTACGAGATACAATACTTATTAATTTAATAGCTCAGTATTAGCTAGCACAACTATTTACAAATAATTAGTTATCATGGTATAGTATGGTGAATTATGTGTCACTTTATTAACTTGTTGAAACTTAAAAATAAATGATGCTAGACAGTCATATTTAGATTGTGAATTATGTTTTTATATAAATTCTCTTTCAAATTAAAAGCATATTTTATAAAAGGAGTATTTTAAAAAAATATCAAATTATAATATCGAAATTATTTCAAGATACATTACTCATTAAGAGATACATATAAGATTTTGTATCGAATACATTACTTTTGTTGTTTAAGTTGTACGACGTCGCAGCTACTTTGCATATTATGATATATATCATACTTTACGTATTATTCATAGTCGAATTATAATTTATAAGTATTTTAATTAGATTAGTTGTTATAATTTTGTGATTTGATGTAATTTTTATAACTATTTTTTATTTTATACTATCTTAAAATTCTTGAAATTAGTAAAAGTTAAAGATCCGTGGGACTTACGCCCCATATCTCAGGGCTTACGCCTCGCCTCATCAGAGGTAAAACGCTTCGCCTCACGCTCCGCCTTTTAAAACATTGGTTAGAACTCAAAAATAGTTGACACATAATGAGGCGTGCAAACCACTAAATTGGTAGCAGTATGGGCATCTTTGAGCACATAAACTTAATTTGGTTCTGTATTTATGCCAAACTTTTCTGTTGATATATAACTATTGGTCATAATTAGGACAGATGTTAGAAATTTTAAAAGTCTGAGTGATTGAGATTGCAAGTCGAAGCGTTTTAATTACTTGGAGAGTGGACAATATAATATGGGGAAGTATAGATATACCCGATTTTAGGAGTACCGTTGACGTCAGACCTACAGTATTGTTTACCTCGAAAATACGAGTAACGATTAAACTTGATTTGTGATTTTAAAGATATGTGATTTAGTTCAATACCAATTAATAATCGAGAAATATGAAGTAGAAATGAAAGAGACAAGTGAATCAAATCGGTGTTACTCAACAGCAGTGACCTCGAGCTTAGTGACCTCGAGGTGGGCTTAGAACAATAAGAACAATTAAGTAAGAAAAATAACGTAAGAACAATAGAGCTAAGGACAATTCTGATGAATAGTGGGCCAAAAAGTAGAGAGTATATTCTTTTCTCAATGATTAGATGATGTTACAAACGATTGGGGTCCCCTTTATATAATAGGGAAATCCCTAAATAAGGTATATTTCTATTTATAGTAAGGAATATTCTTGGTACATCTGTCTAACTGCCTAGTACGGAATCGTACAATCTTATTCCGAGATTTGCGCCATGACCTTGGGGACGTGGCAGGAATCTAGCTAATTCTGTTACAAACCCATAACGGTACTATTTCGGGGTCGAGCATACTTGGCCTCGGTATTCCTCGAACTCCGATCTTCGGGCATTGCACTCTGTCTTCGAGCTCGAGTCTGGTCCACCGGTTTCGAACTCGACCTCGCCCGGACTCGGGCCTAGGACGGAACCTCGAACCTATAAATCGAAGATGTCACGACCCGGATTTTTAATCCTCGGGAGTCGTGATGGCGCCTACTAATGTAAGCTAGGCAAGCCAATCCTTTAAAACCAATTACTTCATTATCCATTTATTCCTTTTTATCAAACATAAAGCGATAACGTATAAACAACGGAAAGTTAAATTAAGCGGAAGAAAAGAATGAAATATATGAAATCTGTGTCTATTACAAATACTCAAGCCTTAATCACCCAAAACCTGGTGTCACAGTATCACAGACGGTCTAAGATTTACTACATACAAAGTCTGAAGAAAATAACAATACACTGTTTCTGAATGTAAGGAAAATGAAACAGGGAATAGGGATAGAGGGAGACGCCAGGGCTTGCGGACGCCTGCAGGTCTACCTTGAATATCCGCGTGGACTGAAGGTAGCCACCCGATCTACTGTCCGAAGTCTACAGCACTGGGATCTGCACAAAAGAGTGCAGAGTGTAGTATCAGCACAACCGACCCCATGTGCTGGTAAGTGCCTAGCCTAACCCCGGCGAGGTAGTGACGAGGCTAGACCAGACTACCACATAAACCTGTGCAATTCAACTATATACAGCGGAAAAGAAGTACAGAAATAAACAGTCAAGTATAGGAGGGGTAGCATGCTGCGTGATATATCACTTTCCGGATAGAAAGACAACATGTAAATGAAAGAAGCAATATACATCTCGGATATCAACAAAGAATCAGAAATCAATAAATGCACGACATCATCCTTCGTGCTTTTACTCTCTTTCCTCACCATATAATCAATATAATCGGCACGGAATGGTACATCGTGCGGCACGGCATCACCCTTCGTGCTTTACACTCTTTCCTCACACACGGCATCACCCTTCGTGCTTTACACTCTTTCCTCACAAAACAATATACGGCATCACTCTTCGTGCTTTAACACTCTTCCTCACCCAAACAACAATCACAAACAATAGGACAAGGGAATAAACGAAATTATAATAAGAATTCCGGCAAGGGAACAACAATTTAACAATTTAGTCCCGGCAAGGAAACAACATCAATAATCCTCAACATCCCGGCAAGGGAGATAACAAATAAAGCAACACTAGCCCGGCAAGGGTGACAACATAATAACATCTTCTCTTTCTCACTTTTACTTCACAATTCACTTCATAACTCGAGCCAATGCTCTAGAGGTTCAATTATCACTTACACTTTCTCAATTCATTACACAACTTGAGCCAACTGACAATTTAGACACCGAGCCACATATGCAACGATATCCTTCTTCATTCTCCGCCACCAATAATGCTGCCGCAAATCCTGATACATCTTCGCGGCGCCCGGATGAATAGAGTACCGAAAACTATGGGCCTCCTCTAAAATCAACTCTCAAATCCCATTCATATTAGGCACACAAACTCGACCCTGCAATCTCACAACTCCATCATCACCTAAGGTAACCTGCTTGGCACCTCCGTGCTGCACCGTGTATCTAAGGACACACAAATGAGGATCATCATACTGCCGATCTCGGATACGCTCCAGTAATGAAGAACGAGCGACTGTGCAAGCTAACACACGGCTGGGCTCAGAAACGTCCAACCTCACGAACTGATTGGCCAAAGCCTGAACATCCAAAGCAAGCGGTCTCTCACCGACCAGAATATAAGCTAGACTGCTCATACTGGCTGACTTCCTACTCAGGGCATCAACCACTAAGATGGTGATATCATAGTCTTTCAACAGATCCAACCATCTTCTCTGCCTCAAATTCAACTCCTTTTGCTTGAACAAATACTGCAAACTCTTGTCGTCCGTGAACATCTCGCACGCCACGCCATACAGATAATGCCTCCAGATCTTCAACGCGTGAACAATGGCTTCTAACCCCAAATCATGAACCGGATAGTTCTTCTCATGAATCTTCAAAACTGCCGCGAAGCATAGGCAATGACCTTGCCATCCTGCATCAACACCGCACCAAGCCCAATACGAGATGCATCACAATAAACTGTATATGGCCCTGAACCTGTGGGCAAAACCAACACTGGTGCTGTAGTCAAAGCTGTCTGGAGCTTCAGAAAGCTCGCCTCACAATCGTCTGACCACCTGAACTGGGCACCCTTTTGGGTCAACCTGGTCATCGGGGCTGCGATAGATGAAAACCCCTCTACAAACCGACGATAGTAACCTGCCAATCCCAAGAAACTCCGGATCTCTGTAGCTGATGCTGGTCTAGGTCAGTTCTTGACTGCCTCAATCTTCTTCGGATCAACCTGAATACCCTCTGCTGACACAATATGACCCAGGAATGCAACTGAACTCAACCAGAACTCACACTTTGAAAATTTAGCATACAACTGACTATCCATCAAAGTCTAAAGAACCACTCTAAGATGCTGCTCGTGCTCCTCCCGGCTGCGGGAATATATCAAAATATCATCAATGAAGACTATCACGAACAAATCCAAGTAAGGCTTGAACACTCGGTTCATCAAATCCATAAAAGCTGCTGGGGCATTTGTCAACCCAAATGACATCACCAAGAACTCATAATGCCCGTACCGAGTGCGGAAAGCTATCTTAGGGACATCGAATGCCCTAATCCTCAACTGATGGTAGCCAGATCTCAAGTCAATTTTCAAAAATACCTGGGCGCCTT